TGAATCGGCTTGCTTTAATTTTATTTTTATTTCAATTTTTAATTTTTTTCGTCGCGCTGTGATGACGTCACATACGCGCTTTCGTCGAGCGCGATTTTGTCATCCGTGGTTTTGTGGTGGAACTGCATGCCATAGGTTTCCCATCACAGGTATAGCATGATAGCAGTATCCCAGTATTTGAGGGGCTGACATAAAGAGGAGGTGGTCCACTTGTTTTCCAAAGGACCTGAAGGTAGGACGAGAAGCAATGGATGGAAACTAATCAAGGGGGGGAAGCAACCTGGAATTAAGGAGAGACTTCCCAACAGTGAGGACAATTAACCAGTGGGACAGTTTCCCTCCAGATGTTGCGGATACTTCATCACTGGAGGTTTCTAAGAAAAAACTGGAACTTGTCTGAAATGGCATAGGTTCTCCTGCTTGAGCAGGGGGCTGGACTAGAAGACCTTGAAGGTCCCTTCCAGCTCTGTTCTGTTCTAAAGTTGCCGTTAACTCCTGGGAAACAATTCCCTCCACGTTAACTGATCCCCTTTATTCTTATCCAACCACTTCCCGCAGGGAAAGTTGGTCGTTATGCCCGTCGCCGAGTTGGTGATCTCGACTCGCTCCACCAGCCACCCGGGAGACAGCCTGCTACTGTCGTGCTCAATCCGAACTTTCTTCAACTCCCCGAGTTCGAGGATTTCTAGGTAGAACCGATCGGTGCTGCCCCGTTCAAAGAGATTGCGGAATTTCTGCTTTAAACGCCGCTTGCCCGAATCCCCGTTCGTTCCAAATATGGTGATGTGGACGTTGGCATCTGTGCCAGATGCTTTTTGGGAGCCGGTCACGACGATCACTTCGTATCGGACGGGTACCAAACTCCGAGCTTTGCTGGCGAAGCTTTCGATCACCTTGGCACATTCAAAAACCTTGTAGTCTCCTCTCTTGGCGCGGAGGGGAATTTTCGCATTGCATTTGAAGAAATACCTGCCGGAAGAAGCAAGCAGAGTCCTGAATTTGGAAGGATTCATGCCCGTTTCCCCCCAAAGTTAAAATATTTGTTGCAGAATGCTTGTTTTTCTTTGGCAAGGAAGAACTGACTTTCTCTGACGAGTCTTGTGCCAGCTTTGCTAAATCCTCTCTGATCGACTCGAATGCTTGTTACCCTTTTGTTTAAATTCCTTCTGGTGGCAAAATTCCATATCATTTTTAGGCCCAGAAAAGCCACTTAATTGGCTTCAAAAATCTTTCCCTCCACAACTCCTCTCCTCACCCTGTTTTCCTTCCACTCCAATCTTTTGAATCCTTCTGCAACAACAACAACAACAATTAGCATGGGAGCTTTGCTGGAAAAGAGATATAATATTTTATGATGCGCCACTTAAGATTAATTAGGGTTTTGGGGTTAGTCGTGATAAATAACTTGGATGGAGATTTCTCCCTGACTTTAATGGTAAACTGGACACTCTCTTATCCCCAAATAGACCTTGAGTTTCATGCTGCTTTGATTGCCAGGATTTTTGTACATGGCAAAGTGTGCTGTAGGGTAACCCTTTCCCCACATGAACCCAGACACACTTAAGCATGCTCAGGGAGGGGTCTATGGCGATTTCCCACAGCCACCCCGCCACAGCCAAATCACCACAGTTAATTCACCACATGTTCTGACCTAGGCTTCCCCAAAAAGCCCGAGGCAGAGTCCTGGTCCCGACGAAACCTCTTTTATTAAACGAATGTGAATTCCTCTCATTCACATTCAGAAAAGGCCTGGCAAACAGTCTTTCAAAGGAGTATTTAGGACTACAGACCTTATATATCTTGGAA